CCAGGGCGGCCGGGGCCTTCGCCGGGGCCGCCACAGCCTCCGCCGCGAGGGCCGCAAAGGCGGCGTCGAGGAAATCGGCGGGGCGGCGGCGGTGGCGCGGGTCGGCGTTGTTGTGGCGCCGCACCAGGGCCTGGACCTCGGGGACGGCGCTCAGGCTCAGGGGGAGCTCCGGAAGGGGAGGGCTGGGGGAACGACGACGCTTCATGGGGGAGGGAAGGGGGGGGGAGGATTCGATAGAACGACGGGGAGGCACTTCAATCCCAATAAAAATGGCTATAAGTCGCTATAAATACCTATAGATAGACCTATGGACCTGTAGATACCTAGATATATCGATATATATACCTACAGACACTTATACCTATATATGGATAGATACCTGTTGATGTATTATTGCGATGGGTGCTTGGTGTGGCCCCGGTATCGATGTTGGGGGGTGTGAGGTCAGACGTGAGGTCGGCCGATCGGACAACGTCTGGCGGGGTTAACAAAAAGAGAAGAAAAAGAGCGCAATGACGCCTGGGGTGAATCAATAAACCAACAAACCAAAGGACTACCCTCACATCCATACACCTTTACCTTGTAAAGAGTGTGAGTAGGTTACCTGGAATCAACGCATTTTACATTCAGGCAGTATGTTTTACAATAAAAAGATACTGTGCTTTAATACTTGGAGGGGAAATTAGACACTTTATTTATATATATATATATAGCAATATATATATAAATATATATATATATATAATGCCTCAAAGGGGTTTACAAGCCATTTAATGAAAATTTAAGGCTACTTTATTACAAGTAAAAAGAAACTAGTATATTATATTGCAAACCATAAATCGAATTAAAACAAAATAAAAGGAAGCGATCAATTTATTTTTGGGAAGTGAAATTATCAATCGATAATAGCGATTATACATTTGACATTGCTTTTCTTCTTGTTATTTTCACAATATGTCAAGTGTTCCCAAATAATTCTGTACGCAAACCTTAAACGCGCAACTGAATAGATTTGCCTAGCATATGTATAATTTTGGAAAAATGACTCTCATTCTGAGTTAGGACAAGGGGCATCTGAATAATTTTCCAGCATTTTGTTAGTAATTGCTCAGTGCATAATGATCTAAAAATTTTATATCCGATCATTTGACTCAAATTGTTTTAGCAGATTGCTTTTTAAAAATAAAATTAAAAAATTTCTTCTTATCAATTTTTTTTCCATTTTATGGCAAACCT